TGTATTTTAAATGTAATGCCCAATTACTGTGCCCCAAGTTCACTTTTAACCATACTGTATATTTATGATCCAACACTGCAGCATGTAGCATTTTAGTTACTTCACAGTGGATACAAACATTATTATATCTTTGGAAATACTGGCCAAACGTAGCCACTTAACGATGTCTTATTTAACAACATGATATTTCTAATGCTTCTAATGCACAAAACCTTGCACATTATATTTTGACTTTCTCCTTATAACATTTTAGATTATTTACAATATTCACAAAAATATACATAGCTTTACAATACAATTTTTATATAGTAAAGAGAACCCATAATGCCTAATGCCAAGCTGTGTAACACCAATCAAACGTGAGACTAAGGATTGCAAAGCAATCATCACTCAGTATAAACAAAAACACCACTGATACTTAATCAACAATGTTGTAACAACAGTAAGTTTAGACAGATGACCGATAGCATGCAAAACTAGCTGGCTTACAAACAGGGTTATCATCAAGAGATCGTTCACATTACTTTTGTCTTTCACATTTGTCTTGGCACCTAGCTATCGATCTATTTATACCTTGCTTGGTTATTAAGTCCCTTCACATTCCAAGTGATTAATAGCACATGATGGGATGCTTCACTCTATCTGGTTTTGCTCTCTGATGCAACTGGTTGATTTGACCATCTCCTATCTACTGTACATAGCATGAGGATAGGAGGTAGCATCTCTTATCTATACTGAACAAAAACATAAACGCAACGTGTAAAGTGATGGTCTCAAGTTTCATGAACTGAAATAAAATATCTCAGAAATGTTCCATATGTACAAAAAGCTTATTTCTCTAATTTGTTTTGCAAATTGTTTATATCCCTGTTAGTGAACATTTCTCCTTTGCCAAGATAATCCATCCACCTGACAGGTGTGGCATATCAAGAAGCTGATTAAACAGCAGATCATTACAGAGGTGCACCTTGTGCTGGGGACAATAAAAGGCCATTCTAAAATGTTCAGTTTTGTCGCACGTCACAATGCCACAGATGTGTCAAGTTTTGAGGGAGCATGCAATTGGCATGCTCACTGCAGGAATGTTCACCAGAGCTGTTGCCAGAGAATTTAATGTTAATTTCTCTACTATAAGCCGCCTCCAACATCGTTAGAGAATTTGGCAGTACGTCCAACCGGCCTCACAACCGCAGACCACGTGTAACCACGCCAGCCCAGGACCTCCACATCCAGCTTTTTCACCTGCGGGATCATCTGAGATCAGCCACCCGGACAGCTGATGAAACTGTGTGTTTGCACAGCCGATGGATTTCGGCACAAACTGTCAGAAACCATCTGAGGGAAGCTCATCTGCGTGATAGTAATCCTCACCAGGGTCATGACCTGACTGCAGTTCGGCAAATGCTCACATTCGATGGCCACTGGCATGCTGGAGAAGTGTGCTCTTCACGGATGAATCCCGGTTTCAACTGTACCAGGCAGATGGCAGACAGCTTGTATGGCATCAGGTGGGCTAGCAGTTTGCTGATGTCAACATTGTGAACAGAGTGCCCTATGGTGGCGGTGTGGTTATGGTATGGGCAGGCATAAGCCACGGACAACAAACACAATTGCATTTTATCGATGGCAATTTGAATGCACAGAGATACCGTGACGAGATCCTGAGACCCATTGTCATGCCATTCATCCGCTGCCATCACCTCATGTTTCAGCATGATAATGCAGGGCCCCATGTCGCAAGGATCTGTACACAATTCCTGGAAGCTGAAAATGTCCCTGTTCCTCCATGGCCTGCATACTCACCAGACATGTCACCCACTGAACATGTTTGGGATGCTCTGGATCAACGTGTACGACAGTGTGTTTCAGTTCCCACCAATAACCAGCAACTTCGCACAGCACAGGAGTGGGACAACATTTCACAGGCCACAATCAACAGCCTGATAAACTCTATGTGAGGAGATGTGTCACACTGCATGAGACAAATGGTGGACTCACCAGATACTGACTGGTTTTCTGATCCATGCCCCTACCATTTTTTTAAGGTATCTGTTTCCAACAGATGCATATCTTTATTCCCAGTCATGTGAAATCCATAGACTAGAGCCTAATGCATTTATTTCAATTGACTGATTTCCTTATATGAACTGTAACTCAGTAAAATCTTTGAAATTGTTGCATGTTGCGTTTACATTTTTGTTCAGTGTATATAGCATGTGGATAGGAGTTAACAGGCAGTCCTGTTGACAGCCATGTTGTTCATTTCACTAGTCTTGCTAACACCCACAGATGTTGTTTGCAGACAGGCAGCTTTACTGTCTCCATTGCTATTAGTGTACACTCGCTTGTTTACAGCCTAAACTAGACCATTTAAGGTCCAAACAAAATTATCTGTTGGGGTTGCAGAAAAAAGCAGCATTTGTATAAAAATAAATAAAAAAAGGCTTGTATTTCACTAACAGTTGTTTTTTGTCCGTAGCTAGACTTCTAGTGCTCTATAAATGTGAGGCCTTGTTGCCATTCTGGGTATTAGAGGGTCGTTCCACGAAATGAGTGCCTTTTGCTTCCCTTTTAAGTAGAAATTGTACACCAATTTAGAATTTTAAAAGCCTGTTATATTAAATTAAGTTACCTTTAATATAGACCACATGCAGAACTCAATAAATCTGCTTTTTAGTATGAATAAATATTCAGCATTAATAACATGAAATAACACATATGGAATCATGTAGTAACCAAAAAAGTGTTAAACAAATTCTTAAAATTAGACACCCTTTGCCTTGATGACAGCTTTGCACACTCTTGGCATTCTCTCAACCAGCTTCACCTGTAATGCTTTTACAACAGTCTTGAAGGAGTTCCCACATATGCTGAGCACTTGTTGGCTGCTTTTCCTTCACTATGCGGTCAAACTCATCCCAAACCATCTCAATTGGGTTGAGGTCGGGTGATTGTGGAGGCCAGGTCATCTGATGCAGCACTCCATCACTCTCCTTCTTGGTCAAATAGCCCTTACATAGCCTGGAGGTGTGTTTTGGGTCACTGTCCTGTTGAAAAACAACTGATAGTCCCACTAAGCCCAAACCAGAAGGGATGGCGTATCGCTGCAGAATGCTGTGGTAGCCATGCTGGTTAAGTGTGCCTTGAATTCTAAATAAATAACTGACAGTGTCACCAGCAAAGCACCCCCACACCTTCACACCTCCTCCTCCATGCTTCACGGAGGGGACCACACATGAGGAGATAATCTGTTCACCTACTCTGCGTCTCACAAAGACACAGCAGTTGGAACCAAAAATCTCAAATTTGGACTTCAGACCAAAGGACAAATTTCCACCAGTCTAATGTCTGTACGCTCTCGTTGGCTGGCCCTCACTACATATTCGTCGCCAAACCCACTGGCTCCAGGTCATCTATAAATCACTTCTAGGCAAATCCCCGCCTTATCTTAGCTCATTGGTCACCATAGCAACACCCACCCGTAGTATGCGCTCCAGCAGGTATATCTCACAGGTCATCCCCAAAGCCAACACCTCCTTTGGCCGCCATTCCTTCCAGTTCTCTGCTGCAAATGACTGGAACGAACTACAAAAATCTCTGAAACTGGAGACACTTATCTCCCTCATTAACTTTAAGCATCAGTTGTCAGAGCATAATATGGACTTGGTCTTTTACCAAATAGGGTATCTTCTGTATACCAACCCTACCTTGTCACAACACAACTGATTGGCTCAAACGCATTAAGAAGGAAAGAAATTCCACAAATTAACTTTTAACAAGGCACACCTGTTAATTGAAATGCATTCCAGGTGACTACCTCATGAAGCTGGTTGAGAGAATGCCAAGAGTGTGCAAAGCTGTCTTCAAGGCAAAGGGTGGCTACTTTGAAGAATCTCAAATATAAAATATATTTTGATTTGTTTAACACTTTTTTGGTTACTAAATGATTCCATGTGTATTATTTCATAGTTTTGATGTCTTCACTATTATTCTACAATGTAGAAAATAGTTAAAAAATAAAGAAAAACCCTGGAATGAGTAGGTGTGTCCAAACTTTTGACTGGTACTTTACCTGTCCCTCATTTTATTGTCAACCCTGTTATGTGAACTGAACTCTCCTAGCAATATGGTAAAAATATTCCTTTTAAAATATTTTTTTCAAAAGAAACATTGAACATCTAATAACCAAATCATAGCGTAAAAGCAGTTGAGCAGGTTCTACTCTTTTTGGCCATTTTCTGGTGTTTTGTGGTGGAAAACTAAGCGGGTCTAGCATAACACGTCAATCCTGTTACCAATAGATAGAGAGTCTAGAAATGTTTTAACAATTTCAATATTTTGCATTCAATTGCCACTCCCTGTTACACAGAACACGCTTCCATTCCCCCTTTCAAGGGAATTTATGCCTGATTTAAGATGAAATCGTCAACCCTGTTATGGTCAATCCTGTTACTTTATTTGGCATTTACTATAGTATTTTTTTTATTTAACCAGTTGAGATTAGAACATTTGTGTTTTATGATGTTGAACATGTTCTCTTTGTGACAGAATGTTAAAATTAGGTGAAATCAACAGTTTTTTTTGGACCAAGTTACACTTCTCAAAAGGCACCGAATTGGTGGAACAACCCTAGTACTGTTTCGCTCTCAGACCAGTCCTTGTAGTACAGCAGTTGTCACAAAGCCTTAATGACTTGTGTTAAAATAAATTGAATTAACCAGGGACATTAACGTGTGTTACTGTTTTTTAGTTTTTTTTATCTTACAAAATATTTCGTAATTATTTTTTTTTCTTATTATTTTCTTATTTTCTTCTTTAATAAATCATCCTTCTTCTTTGTTTTCACAAAGCATCCCAAAATAATTCATTTCATCCAGAGGGGAAACAAGTGTCAACAAACCCAGTTCCCTGTGACCCTTGTAGCCCTTTCTATGGCCCTGCAGGGGGGTAGGGGGCTCCCCGTCGGGCTCCTCTCCACTGGCCCCGGCCTGGCCCCTGGGCTATGCTGTACTGCTGCTTGAACAGGGCGTGCTTTGTGTGCTGCCAATACTGTGGGCCGCACTGCTGTTCTCTGAGGGTGGGGGTTGGGGCTTCTGGGCCTGCTGTCGCCCAGCTGTATCACCTGGATAGGGAGGTGAGGGGAGAAGAGGGAGGGAAGTGAAAGAAAGGGAGAGGGGTGGAGGAGAAAGGGGGAGAGAGAAAGACAGACAGAGAGAGAGGGAGAGAGACGTGGGAGGGGGCGAGAAGAAAAAATACAGATGTGAGTGAGGGAGGGGGAGAGAGAGAGGGAGGGGAGAGAGTGAGGGAGGGGGAGAGAGAGAGGGAGGGGAGAGAGGGAAAAAGAGTGAGAGTTAAGGTTTGATGCAATACATCACAATAATTGGATTTTAGCTACATTATTTTGTGCCACTGCATTTTATTCAAGGTTTTTTGTTATCTAGAGGCCAGCGGCTCAATCTGGTAACAGACTGATGTATAAATGAAAATCGTCAGTTCTCCCAGTGCTGCTGCTTGTCCCATGTGGTGATTATCACTTCACTGACATTTGTTTTTAAGTGAACGTAACAGTCGCCTAACACACAAGGACTCAACTCCTTTGAGTCAGCCAATCAAAGCACCTGATCCAGCACAGAGTGTCTCAAATGGAAAGACCTGAACTGAGGCTTCTCAATATAGCTCTCCACTCTCTGTTATCTGCAAGCAATTAGCATAGCTTTATCAGAATAAACATGAGACAGAGGCCTTCTGCCTGGACCTCAAACCACTGACTTGTTTATTGTTCTGTGTTTAAATGAGCATTCCAGTTTGTAGATTCCTGGGCTCCAGAGCTGGAAACAGAAAGTTAGGGGGCAAATAAAAATGCTTCCATTTGTTTGGAAACCTTGTCTGACAGAGAACTGAAGGCATCTGAAAAAATCCCTGTGTTTGTTTTACATATCTGGCACACTGTGCTTCTGGTATTAAAATGCACTCCATATGTTGTTTGTTTGCAATCTGAGCTGTCTCCCCGGAGAGAGAGACTGGAAAAATGGGGTCTGTGATTGTGTCCCAAATGGCACCGTATTTCCTATATACTGCACTACTTTTGACCAGAGCCCTACAGGCCTTGGTGAACAGTCGTACATTATATAGGGAATACGGTGCCATTTGGGACGCAGTCTGTGCCTACTATATCGATCTCTGTTTGGTTTCTGGAGTGGTTCTGTGTTTGGGTATTACTGTAATTTACTTTTGTGTGTGTGTGTGTGTGTGTTGCGCGGCTCTGGGCCCACAGTCCTTCTGGTTCCCTCTTTCAGGCCCCTCGTCTCTCTCTCTGCTCTAATGTTTGCCAGAGCAGCGCTGTCAAAGAGCTCAAGCTAAACACAGTCCATATATACTCACAGAACACTGCATGGGCTGTCAAACACAAAAGGCCTCGGCTCACTTTAACTCCTTTGTGTCCATTCTCTATCTCCAAGAAAAGTTCAATAAGAAAGTCAGTTTACTTCCTGGTAGGAATCTAAAGAGCGAAATCCTAAATTGAATTTAGTCATGCATTGAAATCTATGGGAGACCAAGTGAAAATTTGACGTAAGTGGAAGTTAGGATTCGCCCCTAAAAGCATACTTGGCTTTCCACCATACTTTCACAGAGTTTGACCAAACAAAAGCTTATACACAAATCTATAAATCTCATGATAGGTCCGGCCAGCCTGCCAGATAGGTAGGTCCGGCCTGCCAGATAGGTAGGTTCGGCCAGCTGGCCAGATAGCTAGGTCTGGCCGGCCAGACACAAATGGGCTATATAAATGTAATTTAATGTTGTTGTAAATGTTGTTGTAAACCATCTGGCCTGATTGAGAAACGTCTCGTATGGTGACATCACATGTCATTGAAGTGAAGCAACAGTCTATTGACCCTGTTCCTTCACACGTTCTGTTCGGTGCCCGGGTAACTCCCACTCCTTGTCTCCAGTGGCAACCCCCTTAACCCCTGGCGTGAGCTATCACAACGCAGGCAGACAGATCACAGCCCCTCTTCTATAACATCATCCTTCCTCCATATCTGTGTCCTAAAATGGCACCCTATTCCCTATTTAGTGCACTACTTTTCACCGGGGCCCATAGAGCTCTGGTCAAAAGTATTGCACTATATAGGGAATAGTGTGCCATTCGGGACGCAGTCCACATTCCTAATGTGGCATATTCTAAAATAGAGCGATACTAGGGATAGTACTTATCACGTCCTGTATACACAGGATACACTACTGGACTGAAGACATTGCTTTAATAAATAAATTCCTCATATCTGTTTCAGGTTACATTCAAATTTCTTTATTTTATTTTTTATTAAATAAATGTAACTTCCCTGTGGCTGCAAACACAAGGTAATGATAAAGAATACTTGAGAGTACCCTCCCTGGTTCTACGTGTGACCTTCTATACCAGTCATGGGGAATATCAAAGTGTGAGCTAGCTGTCCTATCTGCAGAGCCTAGTCTGATAGGGGAAACCACACACTGGTACCTGATTAGAATGTGTACTCATGCCTAGTCTGTTGAAAGGTTCAGTTTTGAGCCATCAAGTGGATGCTTCAGCCATCTTGGAGTTTCTTTTTAGGATTTGGCCAAATAGGGTCCACACAGACGAAGGAGAAAACTTTATGGGCTTGTTTTGTGAGTGGGTGAGACAGTGTAGAAAAGAAAAAATATTGTGGTTTTGGCTTTTAATGTGAACAAACCTCTAACATTGTCCTTCGCCTCCTGAGGGAATAAGTGAGGGTACATTTTACATGTTTCATCATTCACTGGTTTTAAAATGATTCAGCTGCGGATATTTTAAGTTGTTTTTGAGAAAATATAAATTCTTTGGGTATTCTTGCCAATGTTTCCATGTAGGGATATTTTGGTGTTACAAGTCAATAGTTTCCAAGACTACATCAGAATAGAATAGGGATGCGTCCCAAATAGTACCATATTCCCTATATAGTGCACTACTTTTGATCAGAGCCCTAAGGGCCTCATCAAAAGTAGTGCACTATATAGGGAATAGGGTGCCATTTGGGACACAAGCGTAGGTCTCTCTGCCTGTTATGCTCCAACAGAGGAACCACTAGCTATAACATCAATATTAGAATCACATTCCTGCAGTGTTTTTTATCACAACTTCTAAAAGGGCTTAACTCTCCTAATCTTTTCATAACTACATTCCTTACACCTGTTTCCCTAAAGAAGTTCAACTCTTGACCTCAACAATATTTTGGGCCATAGGGGAATATAAAGGCTTGGGTTTATAATGGCGGGTCTCTCTAGGAAACTCATAAAAGTCTTATGAAGGACGTTTTAAAGAGGTCCCAGTATAAACAGAGGGATAAAGATAAAAGTAAAAAAATCATGTTTTTGAATTGGGACTGATTAACTGAAATGCACATCAGTGGAGTTTGCTGCACTTTTCTGAGATGTCCGTATTTCAGTGGCCAAACAGGCAGAACACAGACAGGCCTTTGGTGCTCTATGTGCTGTGGTCATCTAAACCTTAGGGCAATGATCTCACCTAGAATACCCTGATCTTGTTTATTAATGATTTCATGGTTTTCTCTGAGGACACATGAAGGATCGATGAGAGGAGATCAACTCAACAGCATGGTAGCCAGGCAGAACACAGACAGGCCTGTTCTGTTCTACAGTATGTGCTGTTAGAGGTCCTTCCTCATAGAGTTCAGGGGTCAGGGTTCACCAGTCTGGGGATGCTGGTGTGGAAAGTCTTGACTTGGCGTCTAATGGACAGATTGTGTCTCTCTTCCTGTGAGCCAAATGGCGAGCGCCCCACAAAAAATGGACAGGGGGAATTCCAGCCAGCCCCCTCTCTATGTCCGAGCTGAGGCCATTGTGTCCGCGAATACGACCACCCCGCAGGACCCGAGACCCATTCAAAGGCAGGAAAGAGAAGAGTCGCTTAAGCTGACAAACAGGATATATTTACAATAGAGGAGTCAATATGTGACCGACCGCCTTGATTCGGTCTTATGTAGCAACATTAGAAATTGTGTTTTTTACATTGGATAAAAGCAGAGACACAGAGCTACAAAATGGTATATCATACACTGCATTTAAGGGAACAATGGGAAAGTAATTCTGCTTTGAAAGTTGATAAACTTGTAATCTCACTTTTGAGAAAATGGCCTTTGAATGTTTTGGTACCTACTGAAGAGCTCTTCTTTGTCTACACCCATTCAGCATCGTTCACACCCTCTTAAGCTTTAGCCCCACCCATCTCGTTTCGCTCTCGGAGCGTTCAGAGCGCACACTTGACGCTCTGGCCGATGAGTAGGGTTGATCCGAGCGTTCTGACCTCACAATGGCAGTCAAGCACCCAAGCTAACTGGCTAACATTGGCTAACTTGCTAGCTACTTCCAGACACAAAATTGGGATTATGGTTCATTGTTTACCTCTGGCTGTTAGGCTGTTTTCATGTTATCCAGAAAATTGGTGACTGTAACTGTGCTGCTGGCAACAATTTAATTACGCTTTTTGCCGACACTTGAAACCCTACCTCTTTAAGGAATACCTGGAATAGTATAAAGTAATCCTTCTTCCCCCACCCCACATAAAAAAAGGTGGTTGTCCCACTGGCTATCATAAGTTGAATGCACCAATTTGTAAGTCGCTCTGGATAAGAGCGTCTGCTAAATGATGTGAATGTAAAGATGTAATCCGGAGACAGGTGTTTTCTCCATCTCATTAGCTATCATTCTCTAATTCCACTGATTTCAAAACTCGATCCTCCAGAAAGTGGGTGGAGAGCAACACTTATGCAGCTCCACTACACTATACATTTTTTAAAAAGCCGCGTTAGACAGTATTACCTACACATACTGACCAGCTCAAATAGACAGATGCATGCTATATGGCAGACCACTCCGAACTCCTCTCTCGGCATGTCCAGCCCACTCATTATCTCAGCCAATCATGGCTAATGGGAAGGTTGCTGTCTTTTTCTGTGGCTTAACCAACTAGGCTCGTAATTTAACAATGTTATTCGTATTTACAGATGGCATACAAGTTTGTTATTAAGGCATATGAAAGTTCACATGTTCCAGAACGCATTTCTGCCAAAAAACGCATTTTGATTTTTAAAAAAAGTATACGTTCAAATGGCTCTCCTGGGAAGTAGTGACCCGCGACATACGCCTAGTTTCCTGAAACTAGTCACATATGTTATTGCCAGGGCTGTAGCCAGGGTCTGAGTTTTAGTCCGGAGGGGGGTTGGGGGATCCAAGACATTTTAAGAAAGTTAAAGCTCATTTACTGTATTTCTATACAATTTAAAAACTCTAAAATGCTATTTGGAGAACAGCAAAAACAAGCAAAAATTACCTTAGCCATTATCACATTGGTTGCTGTAGGTTCATTCACCTCAGTTGATCTACAAACACATAGCCTATTAGCTATACAATTAGCCGCTACACATTAACTCACATTAACTCAGCACCGGGATTAAAAACTATAATTTAATCTGTACAAAGGGATCTGTTAGCAGAAAAAGTATGTTATTAACAAAAGTTAAACAAATACGTTAGCTTAACATAACTTTTTTGGTGATTGCAGTTTACAGCTAATTTCCTGCAATTATACACATTTTGACATCTATTTGAAGAATTTGCCGAGGATTGGACCTCGTTGTACTCATATGTAGCAACGGCCCTGGTTATTGTTAACTCGCCTCTGTCAGCGATGGGATGTTTTCTGATTATAAAACAGCATTCTGGCACTGTGTAGTTCAGACATTCTTTAGAAGCGCTTATCAGTGCAGAGAGGTTACCATCAAGGTGAAACCTTCAGTCTTACATGAGGTCCAAAAGGTAGGACCTCATGTAACAGCAGGTAAAGGGACAGTACACAGATGTATAAATTCCAATGAGTGTCTATGTTCCAAACAAGCATACCACTAGTGAATGTTCCAATGTCCATACTATCATACCACTTGGAATGAAGCAATGTATTGAGCATACTTTCTAAGTTGTATACCAGTGTGGATGTGACTGTATGAGACTTCCCTGTGTCTCAGGTAAAGGGACAGGTCAGAGAGACGTACCTGTATGAGAGTAGATGAACCACATGGCTCCGGTCAACAGGGCACCGATCACAAATGCAGCGAAGGCGATCCCAACCACGGTTGGAGTGTCCAACACATACAAGATGGCTGAGAGAGAGAACGATGCAGATTGTTATTCAATGACTTGACAACATGACAGCACCTTGGTTTGAAGGCGAGGTAGCGACAGCATGTATTTTTCTCTGGACATGACATCATGAAAACAACTTATATGCAAATGACATACTCAATCTGGTCAACAATTATTATGTCAAAGTGGTCTAAGATCCTGAGATATAAAAACCATTGGTTAAGAATCTCCTAGTCAATGATTGACTTACTTTCCCCTAGTGGGTCAGCAGGGTATTGTGATGCCGTGAGGGTGGGATGAACTGAAACATAAAACACAGACTGGTGTTAACATAGAACAACAATTGAACAACATTACATTTGTAGATGCATGAAAACACCACATTACAACTATGTGTTGAAGCGTCAAGAACATTTGCTGTGATGTAAAATGACAGCACTTATGAACCCAACTCCCTTGGGATAACCAGGTCTTGAAAATGGCCCCCTATGTGCCCTGGTCAAAAGTAGTGCACTACAAAGGGAACAGAGTGCCGAGATGAACCTGTTGACATTTCTGCTTATTCCTTCATTTGAGGTAATCTGGGCAGCTTTTAAAAACCTAATTAGCTTCTAATTACTTCTGAACAAACCATACAATGGTGCTAGTTGTGTAGAGGCGAATTCAAGACCAGATTTGTTCCGGATCCAAGATATTCCGGGAAAGAACACCTTTGGGTTTTCATTCCCTCATGACGGACAATGACAGAACCATCAGAGGATAGTTGGATTTCACATGGGACGGCGGTAACATGACAGACCCCCCTCCCTTCATCCCTCCCTCCCCTCCAGACCACTCAGTGACTGTCCCGCTCCATCTCTCAATCCCTCCCCTCCAGACCACTCAGTGACTGACCCGCTCCATCTCTCAATCCCTCCCCTCCAGACCACTCAGTGACTGTCCCGCTCCATCTCTCAATCTCTCCCCTCCAGACCACTCAGTGACTGTCCCGCTCCATCTCTCAATCCCTCCCCTCCAGACCACTCAGTGACTGTCCCGCTCCATCTCTCAATCCCTCCCCTCCAGACCACTCAGTGACCGTCTCGCTCCATCTCTCAATCCCTCCCCTCCAGACCACTCAGTGACTGTCCCACTCCATCTCTCAGTCCCTCCCCTCCAGACCACTCAGTGACTGTCCCGCTCCATCTCTCAATCCCTCCCCTCCAGACCACTCAGTGACTGTCCCGCTCCATCTCTCAATCCCTCCCCTCCAGACCACTCAGTGACTGTCCCGCTCCATCTCTCAATCCCTCCCCTCCAGACCACTCAGTGACTGTCCCGCTCCATCTCTCAATCCCTCCCCTCCATCATCCCACCCTCCCATCATCCCTCCCTCCCACTGCTCCACCTCTCCAGTCTTATCTGTTCCTTTGGCTCGTTATAAAGAGAATGAAAAGCTGACCCGTCAACAATCAGAGACGCCCAACGAGTTCCAGGTCAGAGGAGAGGATAGAGGAGCCGAAGACAAGATGAGGCCAACAAAACTAGGACACTGTGGAAATTAGTTTTACAGTACAGTTGTAGTTTATGAAGTATGAAAAGACTGTAGCAGAATAACTTTCCAAGCCTGGTCAGACTATGATTGGGAAGCCTCACCTCTGGGTTGCTGTTGGGGTTTTGGGCCGGCTGAGGTTCTGAGTATGGGTCACAGCTCTGAGGTTTTGTGTAAGGGTCCCTGCCCTGTTCCCACCTAGCCTCGCCTGCCCATGTGCTCTAACAAAGATGGTTGAGTCAGCTATCCCTGGGTCTTCCTCCCAGACCAACTTTCCAACTAGCACATCTGCCAACAGTATGAAAGAGACCCTAAGGTCCAACCATTCTCCATGTAAGAAGCAAAGCTTTGTTCTTCGTACTTATTCAGATTTCACAAAGATCTCAGCTGTGCTACGTGTGTGAGAGGGAGGGAGAGAGAAAGAGAGAGAGTACACTAAAGGCAAGGCAAGGCGATGTTCTCATCTCCGTATGCTCTAGGCACAGTTGACCTTGAACCGATAGCACCTCAATAGAGTCAACGTAATTTGTTTGCCCAGAATTTGCTGTTCACATAATAGAACAGAAGAACACTCCTTTAGTGGCATGGTGCCTTGTTTCTCTTAACCTCTGACCCTTGACCTCTAACCCACATCCCCAAAGTGTGTAGAAATGACTAATGGAGTCCATGTGAGATCCTTGACATCTGAGGCCTGTACTCAGATAAACCATACGCCAGTTGACTTGGTTGCACAACTTACAGGCAGTCAGTCAGCTAACAGGAATTCAGTTAGAAAGTTTTATGTGTTGTATAATTACTGTACTGTAAACAAGTCCACTTCAAAAGAAAAGCATAGGGATACAAAATGGCGGTGCTCTGACGAAGTTGGTTGTTGACTGAAAGCTTAGCACATTATAACTTGCATCTGAAGCTTAGCACTGAACCTGCTAAGCTTCAAGTGTGCAGAGACTGCTTTTGATAGCTGAACGATCTTACCAGTACTCAACATTACTACTGTCCCTTCTGTTGAGTTTTCCTTACAGTTCACAGTTCAGCAAAAAGGGTGACAATTTATTTATCTTGTGAGGCAGTACATCTAACTTTGATGGTTGAGCTTTGAGGCTGTTATGTTTTTCCGTGCACCAAACTGCCTACAAACGACCCTCTTTGATTTGGAGATCAAGCTGAACTCGTTGGGATACTGTCCAGTACAGGACTCAGGTTGCTTGAAATGACTGCTTGTTGTCTTTGCCATCTCAGCATAAGAGATGCCTTTGTATTAAAAGCATGGTATCTGAGCCAAGCAATATTTTTCATTAGGGTTTATGGCGTATCTGTGCTTACTTAATCTCCCTTTGCCACGGGAAATGAATCCACAGCCCTGCCTGGAATACGTACTGGTATTGGCAGGAACACAACACACCACTGCCCACTGCCAGGGTTGGCTTGGTTACAGTAGGCTAGGTTTGGCATATACTGTATACTCACAGCCCACTTGGGTGATTACTCCATCCTTCTGGGTCTCTGATCACCAATAGCTAAAAGCAGCTGAGGTTGTTGAGGTTCTTTATTTCCAAACATCATCAATGAAAGACATATCCCTTGATTACAACATCTCAGGCTGAGCCCAATATTCAGACCCGCAGAGGAGTGGTGCTCACAGTCAAATCAAGTGGCACCCTATTCCCTTAGGACTCTGGTAAAAAGTAGTGCACTATATAGGGAATAGGGTGCCGATTCTGATGCAGCCTGAGTCTGTACCCAATGTTTAGGCCCTGCAGTGGCATGGTGCTCATTTATTAACACAGGCCAAATCAAGTGTAGTAAACACTCCCCAGGTCCCCATTACTGTTTGCCATGCTTCATTTGCTCTGGGCACAATGCCAGCCCTTAGTGATTAACATAGTATGATTAGACATGTAAGACAAGTATTGCGTCCTAAATGGCAGCCTATTCCCTTTATAGTGCACTACTTTTACCAGGGCCCATAGGGAATATGGTGCCATTTGGGACGCAACTTGTGAGTCAATAGGGGTTTACTCTTCCCACCCACTGACCACAGTCCACTTGTTGATGTAATCACCCCATAGGGGGATGCTGATTGGAAAAGCCCTGGCAGTGAAAACAGTCCCATCTAGATCATAATGAGTATAATGTGATGTAGGACACCCCCGGGCCTCCGTGGTCCCGGGGCCTCCCCAGTCTGCCCCACCCTCTCTCTGATCACACACACACACACACACACACACACACTCCCAGCCCTCTGAGCCCCAGAGAGGAGAACAACTGACTGACTGAGTGAGTGAATGTGCGATTTGCTAATGCAGCGATGAGGGGGCCTCAAGCTCTGGATACTCTCCCAAACCTAGCGAGAAGACCACTTCTCCCTCCTTTCTTTACTGGGAAGGGGAGGCCACAGAGAAGGTTCTAAGTGAAAACAACTGGAGCTCCATGCAGGATGGATGTGGATGACTCGTCTTTTTCCACTCCTTTCGCACAGTACTGCTTGGTAGAACTGTGGTAGAACTGGGCTGGGGCCTCAGCGCTAGCAGCAAGCCACCCATACCCCAGCTATGCTCCAATGCTCCAATCAACCTCTCTCTCTCACACACACACACACACACACACACACACACACACACACACACACACACACACACACACACACACACACACACACACACACACACACACACACACACACACACACACACACACACACACACACACACACACACACACACACACACACACACACACACACACACACACACACACACACACACACACACGCCCATGCACACACACACACACATGCACACACACACACACACACTCCCACCACAAGCTAATAAACTCCAGATGCAGGGAGGCAGGGGGATGGAGGAAGGATGAGATGTGCTCTGCAATGTGACTCCTCTCCTTCTGCAGAACTGAGGTTGGTTTTCTCTGGGACGTCCTTCCTGCCACCCAGACTGTTCTCTGATTTACTCTCTCTGTCTTCCTGTCCTTCTTCAATGACCTTCAACACAGTTCTGTCTCCTCTGGCCAACTGGTTCAGCTCTCTACATGTGTCTTAGTTCAGCAGGCTGCGCATACAGTATGTCTCAGTTAGACTAGTCTCTCTCCACAGACATTTATATAAATGTTAGCCAGCCAGCACAAGACTTCCAGTATGTCTCGCGAGACTACAGTAAGATTAGGCTGTCTCTGATGTATAGGGAGGGAGGGAAGAAGGGAAGGAGGGAAAGATGGAATGAGTACTTTGAAGTAGTTCGTATATGCCATCTTCCTCATATATTTTGGATAAGCTGGTTCATCATAGAGATTACATTGGTTATGAGGACTGTACAGTACGTTAGCGTTATTAGTCCACTCACCTGGTTCCTCCTCCTCTGTGTCACGTTCTTCCACCACCACTAGGGTCTTGGTAGAAGTCTTGGTGTTCATCATCATGGCTAGGATGATCTCTCCGTTGACAGACGTACACGCCTCGTCCGGTTGGATACACTGCATGGAGAGAAACACAATCACAATAAGAACACTGAGAAATCCAAGATAATTCAGCCTTGGATTTCATATACCATGTGAATATATTTCATATATTACTTTAATTAACATTTTATGAATTTCATATGTTACATAACACATGGAGTTTCCTATTAAAATAAAACGTTTTTTGTATGATTTATCAGCCATGAGACTGTTACATGCTTTTCATTCATATGACAAAAGCAGTTTATATGACCAACCAATACATCCCTTTTGATCTTTGACCACACATATCATTTTCCAGGAAATCATACCTGGTCAAAACTCATGTTCCTTCCCCTGATCCCTATCCTAACCATAATGTAAATAATCAGCTGCAGCGCTGCTCTGGCGTGAGTCAGCTTGGAGCCCCAGCCTGACTCTGTCAGGACATTTTAATGTAAAATACCCTCTGAGACCCAAATAGAGGGCGGCTGGGTGAGCACTGAGCAGAAAGAACTGCTTGGAAAAGGTTATGAAAGTGCAATGACTTAGCAGAGATGGAGGGAGAGATGGAGGGAGAGACAGAGAGAGAGAGAGAGAGAGAGAGAGAGAGAGAGAGAGAAAGAAAGAGAGGGGGGGGGCTAAAGGTAAGAGAGAGAGGGGGATTATGGTACAGTGAGGAGAGGGTAAAGTGAAAATGACACTTGAGCTGACAGCTTGTTTTGGTTCTACAGATGGTTACTTAGGAAACCTGAAGTAGATGTATGCTTCCTGCTCTGGTTCAGAATGGATTGAGACTGACAGATGGTGCAGCAGGCCTAACTCATGCCAAGTCTGCAAACTGGAGCACAGACCTTCTGAATGGCTGGACTGCCCAGCCACACTGTAAACACAACGTAACTTACGCTGAGTGCTCTTCAAACTACCATGAAATGTATGAATCATTGCATAGACCACAGATTCAGGTCATGCCAGTTAAGTCTGGGTTACTGCATGTAGGGCTTTGAAAGACGTAGATGCTACAATATGTACCAATGGCAATGCAGGAGTTTGGTCTAGCAGTGGCACAGCCGGGCTCTGGACTACACATGCCCCGTGAAAGAACAGGGTTCAATTCCTGGGCCGACCTCTACAACTCTTCATACTGCATCTCTAAATACCGAACTGAGTGAGATAGAGGTCATTCATCAATGGCTTATGCTCCTTGCAGTTTACTCCTAGTGGACAATTACATCATAATAAAAAATTCCCCTCGGCCATGCCCACAAATTGGGGAAAACAAACATTCAATGTACAGTTGAAGTCGGAAGTTTACATACACCTTAGCCAAATACATTTAAACTCAGTTTTTCACAATTCCTGACATTTAATCCTAGTAAAAATTCCCTGTCTTAGGTCAGTTAGGATCACCACTTTATTTTAAGAATGTGAAATGTCAGAATAATAGTAGAGAGAATGATTTATTTCAGCTTTTATTTATTTCATCACATTCCCAGTGGGTCAGAAGTTTACATACACTCAATTAGTATTTGGTAGCATTGCCTTTAAATTGTTTAACTTGGGTCAAACGTTTCGGGTAGCCTTCCACAAGCTTCCCACAATAAGTTGGGTGAATTTTGGCCCATTCCTCCTGACAGAGATGGTGTAACTGAGTCAGGTTTGTAGGCCTCCTTGCTCGCACACGCTTTTTCAGTTCTGCCCACAAATGTTCTATAGGATTGAGGTCAGGGCTTTGGAAGTATGCTTGGGGTCATTGTCCATTTGGAAGACACATTTGCGACTAAGCTTTAACGTCCTGACTGATGTCTTGAGATGTTGCTTCAATATATCCACATAATTTTCCTTCCTCATGATGCCATCTATTTTGTGAAGTGCACCAGTCCCTCCTGCAGCAAAGCACCACCACAGCATGATGCTGCTACCCCCGTGCTTCACGGTTGGATGGTGTTCTTTGGCTTGCAAGCCACCCCCTTTTTCCTCCAAACATAACGATGGTCATTATGGCCAAACAGTTCTATTTTTGTTTCATCAGACCAGAGGACATTTCTCCAAAAAGTCCAATCTTTGTCCCCATGTGCAGTTGCAAACCATAGTCTGGCTTTTTTATGGCGGTTTTGGAGCAGTGGCTTCTTCCTTGTTGAGCGGCCTATCAGGTTATGTCGATATAGGTCTCGTTTTACTGTGGATATAGATACTTTTGTACCTGTTTCCTCTAGCATCTTTACAAGGTCCTTTGCTGTTGTTCTGGGATTTATTTGCACTTTTCACACCAAAGTACCTTCATCTCTAGGAGACAGAACGCGTCTCCTTCCTGAGCGGTATGACGGCTGCGTGGTCCCATGGTGTTTATACTTGCGCACTATTGTTTGTACAGATTAACGTGGTACCTTCAGGCATTTGGAAATTGCTCCCAAGGATGAACCAGACTTGTGGAGGTCTACAATTTTATTTCTGAGGTCTTGGCTGATTTCTTTTGATTTTCCCATGATGTCAAGCAGAGGGGCACCGAGTTTGAAGGTAGGCCTTGAAATACATCCACAGGTACACCTCCAATTGACTCAAATGATGTCAATTAGCCTATCAGAAGCTTCTACAGCCATTACATCATTTTCTGGCATTTTCCAAGCTGTTTAAAGACACAATCAACTTAGTGTATGTAAACTTCTGACCCACTGGAATTGTGATACAGTGAATTATAAGTGAAATAATCTGTCTGTAAACAATTGTTGGGAAGATGACTTGTGTCATGCACAAAGTAGATGTCCTAACCGACTTGCCAAAACTATAGTTTGTTAACAAGAAATTTGTGGAGTGGTTGAAAAACGAGTTTTAATGACTCAAACCTAAGTGTATGTAAACTTACAACTTCAACTGTACATGTAACCAGATCACAAATCACAACCAATGGTTTACAATGCTCCCACGTAGGGAAATAGAGCCTGTGAGAAGAGCTCTGTGGCTTCAGGCTATTCAGCGTGGGACAGTGGGAGATGTGGGTAACCGGTGTCCAAGTAGGCTACCTGTAGCTACATTGCCTTCAGAAAGTTTTCCACATTTTGTTGTGTTACAGCCTGAATTTAAAATGGATTAAATAGAGATTTTTTACAAATTTATAAAAAATGTTTGTTATGGCAAGCCTAAATAAGTTTAGGAGTAAAAATGTGCTTAACAAGTCACATAATAAGTTGCACTCACTCTGTGTGCAATAATAGTGTTTAACATGATTATTAATGACTACCTCATCTCTGTACCCCACACATACAATTATCTGTAAGGTCCCTCAGTCGAGCAGTGAATTTCAAACACAGATTCAACCACAAAGACCAGGGAGGGCTTTCCAGTGCCTCGCAAAGAAGGGTACCTATTGGTAGATGGGTAAAAAATAAAAAATATAAAAAAGACATTGAATATCCCTTTGAGCATGGTGAAGTTATTAATTACACTTTGGATGGTACACCGAGTCACTACAAAGATACAGGCGTCCTTCCTAACTCAGTTGCTGGAGAGGAAGGAAACCGCTCAGGGATTTGGTGACAGAGTTTAATTGCTGTGATAGGAGAAAACTGAGGATGGATCAATAACATTGTAGTTAATCCACAATGCTAACCTAAATGACAGAGTGAAAAGAAGGAAGCCTGTACAGAATACAATTATTCCAAAACATGCATCCTGTTTGCAATAAGGCACTGAAGTAAAACTGAAAGAAAACAACGCAAAATATGTTACTTTATGGACATACTCAGTATTCATATTCCAAAAGAAAGACATTTTCTCACTACAATACATTTTAATAGAAAGTTTGCAAAAATAGATAAGATCTTGCTATCATGGAAAGGAAAATACCTGTCTTTTTGTTGAAAAATCACCCTGATTAACGCTTTAGTCATATTCCAGTTGACCTATTTGCTTATGGCCTTGCCTACACCTAGCGACCTGTTTTTTAAACTATATGAGCAAAATATATTTTATTTTATTTGGAACGGCAAGCCAGACAAAATTAAACGGGCCTATTTATATAATGAAAATGAATTCGGAGGGCAGAAATAATTAAATATGAAAGAATTAGACCTCTCACTAAAGGATTCAGTAATACAAAAGTTATACTTAAATCCAAACTGGTTCCTATAGCAGATTAGTAAGAATTTCTCACCCCATGTTCAAGAATGGCCTTTTCCCCTTTAATCAGATTACAACCTCTCACTTTTGGTTATTTGAAAATGAAATCATCTCAAAAATATTTCTAAATTGGTTGCAATTTCAGTTTAATACACCAGAAAAGACAGAACAAGTAATACAACAAATATTATGGTTAAACTCAAATATACTAATTTTTGAAAAAAATGTTTAAAAAAGTTATATCCTTGTAAATTATATATTTACCAGGACTGGTGGAGTTATGTCACACATGCAGCTAACAAAAATATATGGAAACGTCTGCTCTACCCAAATTACAACCAACTAATTGCAGCATTAACACAAAAATGGAAGAGGCAAGTGGAATGGGGAAAGAGTAAGGAACTTGTCTGTCGGCCCTGCATTAAAGACCAACATTGTGATGAAAAAAAGTATACCAGTTTCATTTAAGGACCAAAAAATTGACAGCTGTACCATATAGATTACAAAATAGTTGGGAAGAGATTTTTTATGTACCGATTCCATGGCACATGGTTTATGAACTAATACGCAAAAAGATGCCGGATTCAAAAAGTAGAATTTTTCAATTTCAATTATTATACAAAATTCTTGAAACCAATAGAATGTTATATATATATGGGGGATACAACCATCCCAGCTCTGCAGATTTTGTTGCGAAGAGACATAATCATCATTTGTTTTGGTACTGTCCATATGTAGCTTGTTTTTGGTCGCAGGCCCAGGAATGGCTGAAGAATTGCAACATTTACCTGGAGCCAACTCTGCAAATAGCACTGCTGGTTGATTTAAAAAGTCATAGTCAATCGATCAATAATATTATAATACTTTTAGCAAAAATATATATATTTCATTTACAATCTGTAGAAACTATGAGAATAGAAAGGTTC